GACCTGAACCCAATCGAGATGGTTTGGGGTGAGCTGGACCGCAGAGTGAAGGCAAAGGGGCCAACAAGTGCTAAACACCTCTGGGAACTCCTTCAAGACTGTTGGAAAACCATTTCAGGTGACTACCTCTTGAAGCTCATGGAGAGAATGCCAAGAGTGTGCAAAGCAGTAATCAGAGCAAAGGGTGGCTATTTTGAAGAAACTAGAATATAAAACATGTTTTCAGTTATTTCACCTTTTTTTATTAAGTACATAACTCCACATGTGTTCATTCATAGTTTTGATGCCTTCAGTGAGAATCTACAATGTAAATAGTCATGAAAATAAAGAAAACGCATTGAATGAGAAGGTGTGTCCAAACTTTTGGCCTGTACTGTATATAAAGCTTAGCCTGCTACAACACTAACTGTGAACTTTCAGACAGCTGTGGAGGAAGAATTCATATATTTTACTTAAGTAAAAGTACTAAAACTAAAATGTAGAAATACATTCATGTCATACATTCAGAACCTTAGGCTACTAAAAAGAACAAAAGTAGGCTATTAGCATGAAAATATATTACAAGAAGCACTCACATACCTAAAAATTAATATTTACTTATTTACTTATCAATACTTTGTTATGAACAGAAAAATGTAGTAATATATATTAGTAGGAAAAGTAAACAGAAATCCCTGTGAACAACTGGTGACTTTCCAGCCCCTGTCTTTAACCCTGCACCTTCTAAATATTATCTTTTTATTCCTTATTTTAAATTGGTTCATGTTTGGGCATTGATTAAGCTCCACCTCCAGGCTGTACCATAACCTCACTACACATATGGAAATATAAAAACTTTTCCTGGTAGTGCGCTCACTATGGGTTTTGAAATTAGATAAATAAATTAAAAGATAAATAGATATAAAATATGATATATTGGATTATGATTATTGATGCATTAATGTGTTCATCACTTTAATGTTACAGCTCATAAAGGTGGACCTCATTTTACAAGCTTAATCTGTAATATACCTAATAATTCATTAGTTAATTATATGTTGTAAAAATAACTTTGATGTGGAAAGCATCATTGGGTAAATGTAGTGGAGTAAAAATATAATAACTCCCTCTGGGTTGTAGTAGAGTAGAAATATAATTAAGTATCAGAAAATAGAAATACTCATGTAAAGTTTAAACATGTCAAAAGTATGCTTCATAAATGTACTTAGTTACTGCTCACCACTGAAGTAAACAGGTTGATAAAAAGCTGTTGTCATAGGTAAAGAAAGAAAAAGTCCTTTAAAAGAGACAGAAGAAGAAGAACAACATGGAGGAGAAGAAGAAGAAGAAGAAGAAGAAGAAGAGGCACCTGATTGGACAGAAGCTGACCAATGAGCTGAGGATACAAATGTCCTGCAGGTGACCAACTATTTCAAAACACCGCAAATAACTGTCCGTCCGATGAGCACGGTTAGGATTTAATAATTAATAAGGGTTAATATTAATGAAACGGTCGATTCAAATGTTGATAGAGTTCATTAACATTATATTTAAAACGACAATATTAACTTTATAAGTACTGTAAACGGACAGAGGGGCTAACTGCTGCTAGCTAAGGTTAGCTAAACTAGCTTAAAATAAACATTAGCTAACAGTTGGTAAATTTTAACGTTATGTGTCAGTTATATGTCATTTATCTGTTGTCAGGTGTGGAAAGTGTCTTGTACAATTTACAGTATTTACTTATGTCCATTTTGTACTTAATTATTCTTCACTACATGTCTAAGGGAAATGTTTCAGCCTAACATTACTCCTTAACTCCCTGCGCTACATTTATCTAGCTAATAGCTTTATTTTTTACTTTGTAGGCACAAAACACCTTAAGTTAGGATATTCCTTAAAGTCCTAGTTAGGGTTTCCTTAAAATTAAATTTGTTGCACAAAACACACTTAAGTCTTCTCCTAATGTTCACTTAAGTATTTATGGTTTTCTTCTTATCTTGGTCTTAAACTTAAGGAATCCCTAGACTGTTGCACCAAAAGACCTTAGCAGCCAAAGCAAGGTAAAAATAACTTAAGGTACCTTTGACTCTATCTTAACTGCAACATGACCGAATTCATGGTGATAAATAAAAGAAGAGGGATCAAATTTACTTTGTAGTTTGTTCTTTCTATGATTATATTCCTCCAGAAGTTTAATCATTTTCCTCCTCTGACCAGTATAGTGTTCTTGTCTTCTTTTCTCTCGCCATTTTTTCACCATCTATGAGACAACTTTGTGAGACGGTAACAGGCGTCACAAGTGTGAGTCCAAACAAACAACCTCCATGGAATCTTTAACCTCTGTAAGATCTCTTTCAACACAGTAAATGAGTTAATGCTTTTCCTTAATTAAGGAACCCTTTTCAGGGATTCTGTGCAACTGTGTAAGAGTCTCAGTGTCAGAGTCCAAAGTGACGTCTGCAAAT